ACACCACCCATGCTGGGCTCATAGGCACACACCACCCATGCTGGGCTTACAGGCACACACCACCCATTCTGGACTTACAAGCATGCACCACCCATGCCCAGTTTTAAGAGCTGCTGACTTAGAACCCAGGGTTTTATTCATACTAAGCAAGCACTCTATCAAGTGAGCTACTCCCAGTCCTCTCTTTAAATGCTTTTGTAAATAGAGTTCTCTTGACTGCCTTTTCAGATTGATAATTAGTAATGTTTAGGAGGACAACTGATTTTTATTGCTCTTCTATTTCACAACTTTGCTGAATTTGTTTAAGAGCCCCCCCCCTCCATCATGTGTCTGTATGTATGTCAGTCTGTCTGTCTGTAATATTGTCATATATTGTCATTCCTATGGCTACCTTTTTTTTTTCCTCATGTAATTACTCTGACCAGTACTTCAAGTACAGTGTTATATAGGGTAAAAAAACTGCCAGCGTTGTCTGATGTCTGACCTTTTAATATTAAGTATAATGTTAGTTGTGGAGTTTTTCTTCTTAATGTACTTAATTTTTACATTATTTGGAATTACTTAATGTATATGAATGTTTTATCAGCATGTATGTCTGTGCATAACATGTGTGCCTGGTGACCTTAGAAGTCAGAAGAGGGCATCAGATACCCTGGAACTGGAGTTACAAGTGGTTGTGAACCAAGTAGATGCTGGGAACTAAACCCTGATCCTCTGAAAAAGCAAAAAGGGCTCTTAATCACTGAGCCACTCTCCAGCCCCTAGAAGGCTTTTTATTGGTAAGGAACTTTCCTTCAGTGCCTGACTTGTTAGATGGGTTTACTTTGCTTGCTTTGTTATAAACTGTTGATTTCATCAAGTGCAAATGCTTTTCCTGTATCAGTGGAAACGGCTTTGTGGGTCACTCCTCATCAACTACATTGATTACTCGATTGATTACAACTACATTGGTTACTCGATATTAAGATCAGTGTTAGTCACGTGTTCTACCCTTGAGCCACATCCCCAGCTTAGGGGTTCTTCTTTTATTTATAAATCATTTTTGACTCAGTTGGTAATGGTGTATAATTATTTCAAGGATGCTGTGGGTCTAGCCTGTGACATCAGAGAGGACCTTCACATCATTGGCTATACTGATACTTGTGTGTAGTTCTATTTCCTGTGTATCTGAGTCTGCCCTAGGCACCAGCAACGCTAGCCCCACCCATGACCTCATCGACCATGCCTCCTGTTTTACATCTTGGAGCACAGGCTTTGTTGTTCTTTGATGATTGGCTGTTTTTACAGGACTGTGAGGAAGGTCCATTTCCTCATTTCTTCTTTTGTCAGTTCTTTTAAGTTCGCTTGTCAGTCTGCCTGTTGTTTCCTTTATCTAATCTGACTGCGTACAATTACCTATGTCTTTCTTCTCCAGTCTTGTTCCCCTCTGTAAGGTCGGTCCGGTCGCATTGACTCGATTCTCACTTCTGAAAGCCGTTTGAATCTTTGCTCAGAAGAGCTCTCCTCTGATTAACTTTGCTCACCTACTCACAACACTAACTTGTAATTTAATTTCCCTCTAGCCTTTAAAAAAGTCCCTCTGCTCATTTAGGTTTGGTCTTCTTTTCTGTTTACTTGAGGTGAAGCTCTCATCTCACCTCACCTCACCTCACCTCACCTCACCTCAAGAGGTCTGGGCTCTTTTTCTGACAGGAGCGCTCGCAGCAGTGAGTTCCCTCAGGGTGATGCTTTTACTGCGATACAACCATGTTGTGTTGACATGTTCACTCAACCTAGAATATGTCCTCATTTCCATGTGCTTTCTTCTTTGATCCACTGGTTTAAAATGTGTTGATTTATACATATTTCAAACGTTTCTAGTTTACTTTTTTTTAATCTTCTTATAGATACATTATATATTAAATGCATTTGCCCCTCCGCCTC